AGCGCCTGCCTCATGCACGCCCCCTCCCGGGATCGGAGACAGCAACCCGGGCATGTGCCCTCGACCGGGAGTGGAACCGGCCACCTCTCGGTTCATGGGTCCAAGCCCAACCACTGGGCCACACCGACCGGGGCTGCCTCGGGAGTTATTTGATTAACGTCAACCAACGCCAAGTAGGAGACGTGTCCTTGGTCTCAGAGCTCTGAAGGCCTTCCTTCGATGAAATGGATACGTGAGGGGATCCCAGAACCTCAAGAGGGAGGGGTTAGCAGTTCCCCTTGGCCCCCATGATGCATTTCTGCAGCCAGGAACTTGGAAATATGTTGACCAACTCTTAACCCGAATCTCAGTTCAGTTCCGTTCGGCAAACGTGCATTCGAGGGTCTGCTATGGCCCGGCTGGTGTGGCTCCGTGGTTGAGCGTCGACCTAGGAACCAGGAAGTCAGGGTTCGATCCCCGGTCAGGCCACAGGCCTGCATTGTGGGCTCCGTCCCCAGTGCGGGGCGTGCAGGAGGCGGCCGATCCACGATTCTCTCTCATCACTGATGTTTCTCTCTCTCTCCCTCTCCCTTCCTCTCTGACATCAATAAAAAAACATATATTTTAAAAAATGGACCCAGGTGACACGGCCCCACCCTGCCTTTGAGTCTTCCAGCCCAAGGTGGGCTTGGCAGGAATATGGCGGCCAAGTCACCTTCTTCCTCTGGAAACGGTGGAATTCGTTCCTCGTGGTTTAGGCTGGACGACCCCCCCCCCGCCCCCCCGAAGCTCTGTGCCGGGAGAAGTGACAGCTGAGCACCCCTTTGCCGTCCCTGCCCCGCTCCGAGCCCGAGGCAAAGGATGACAAAGGGAAGCCCAGCAGCCCCGTGGCTGCGTGGAGCCGGCGGCGTGAAGCGTGCCAGTCCGGAGGAATCCAAACACGGGAGAAGGACACAGTCCGTCGCCAGCCCGTGTGTCCGGGAGATCCGACTCTCGGAACCCACCACTGCTCAGGGCGGCCGCCCCAGCCGAGCTGTCGGCCTCACAGTCCCTTTAATTGACCTTCATTTTCCAGGTTGTCTTCCACAGAAACCCTGCCACAGCCCGGCCGGCGTGGCTCCGTGGTTGAGTGTCAACCTATGAGCCAGGAGGTCACGGTTCGATTCCCGGTCAGGGGCACAGGCCCAGGTTGCGGGCTCGATCCCCAGTACGGGGAATGCAGGAGGCGGCCGATCCACGATTCTCTCTCATCATGATGTTTCTCTCTCTCCCTCTCCCTTCCTCTCTGAGATCAATCAAGCCTATATAATAAAAGAAAAACATGCAGATTAACCATCACTCCACCACTCTGCTACAACCGCCAGCCAATCAGAGTGACTATGTAAATTAACCCAACAATGATGGTGGTTAATTTGTATATGCAGGCATAGAGCGAAGACTGTAGACGACTGAAGATGGCTGTGGCCAAAAGAGCTGGAGTGAGCAGGAAGCTTGGGTTGCTCCCGGTGACGGAGGAAGCCAAGCTTCCCGCCGGCCCTGGACTCCGCTCAAGGAGGGGCTGGGCGCCTGGGGCACCA